TAATCTTATTAAGTACTCTAGTAATCCAAGGAAATGGAGGAAAAGTATAAAACATATTTTGCAGGCTGCTTCCCAAGCATATTTAGACGCATCTGTATATATCTCAAGTTGATATTTCCTCGGCAACGGTGACTCCTGTGAATCAACTAAAACTTGTAACCACCAACGCAAATTTGATTTTCCATCTTCTGATATAAACATTTTTAGGTTATAAGCCATAACGAATTGGAGGACATACAGATATAAGGTTACCAATCAATTTTGCAAAACTTCTAATTTTACATTCCTAAACTTTTAAAAATTAGTTAATTAATTTTGAATTTCTTTTAATTTTATCACTTGGCAAAAACAATTAATTTGCTAGAGGTTAATAAGAATCATATTACTAGGTATCAAACATGATTTACGGTAATTGATCAAAGAATCTAAAGACGTTAGGAAACAAAATGGAATCTAGCAAACATGCTGAATGACTTCCACCAAAGAGAATAACGATTTTAATATCTTTGTGAAAACAAATGGTGTTGTGCATAATCCAAACGGTAAACAATTAAATTTTAATAATTTTCTTGAAACATAATACACAAATATTTTTTATGAGGCTTACAAACTGGTATTACAAAATAAGCGTTTTTTAATTCCAAAGTAGCCATATAGACTGACTTTGTTTTTATGTTTTTGACAGTTCGATAATCATCCATTTTAAAATGCATAGGAAACAGAAAAAGATTTAAGCGCTTCGAATTCAGGATAAATCTAAATTTAATATCGGATTTTGGGACCAAAAAATATAAAGAAATAAACTGCCTTTTCTCTATTTTTCCTGTTTGTACTTTGTTTGTTTCCCTATTTGCAAAATTCTAAAATTTAAATCTCGTGCAAAGAAACGGGCGCATAAAGTTTCAATTCTGCTAAGAGGAACTTGCTGCCTGTGTAACTGGTCTTTTCTTTTTCATTTTAATAACGTCACGAGAACGTATAGAGAAAGAATAACATTCCGATTATAAACAGTCATAAAGTGAACGGCTATAAATTTAAAGCAATTACTTGAAGAACTAGTAAAAATCTAACATTTTTTTAACTTCATGCACTTTTCTATTAATCTTAATCATTTGTTCACTAACATTTCTTTTGGTCATTTAAACAAATATATTTAGTTTTTCTAAATTTAATATCGAAGTGTACACACTCACGCACTAAAACGCGTAATGACAAGAATTTATCTTTTTTTATTTCTTTAAAAATAGAGTACGCTGGCAGAAAATTAAGCAATTAGGTATTCAAAACAAAATGGCTACCAGTGAGTTTTGACATACAAACATTATGGCAACTCTGTAGGCCTAGTGATTTGACAGGGTCAATAAAATAGATAGTTATATAGATTAATCATCCATATTTTTTAAAATAAATATAAGCTTACGCCTTGAAGTAAAAATATAACAATATATGAGTCATTGACCCTGTCAATGACAACAGGTCCACAGGGTTGCCATAACTAAACTGAACTAAACTTGCCAGCATTTTGACAGGTCGCTGAGATGCCTAATTAGATGTGTGTTCTATAAGGACCGGACTAGGAACTATAATGAATGATATATCGTCAATTTCACAAAGTGTCGTATCTCGAAAAAATCGGTTTTTGAGATACTTCACCTACATAGGTAAAAAAGTGTACTCTACAACTTCAGCAAGTGGCGTATCTCAATTCATTGTAGGTACTTCGATAATAATAATAATAATAATAATAATAATAATAATAATAATAATAATAATAATAATAATAATAATAATAATAATAATAATAATAATAATAATAATAATAATAATAATATATCTTTATTTTTATATGAATAATACATAAAAAAAACAAGTCAAGGTACATGAGTATATAAATAAAATAAGCGACAGATATAATAGTAATAAAAAAAAAATACGAATTAAATAATAATAATAATAATAATGAAAATTAAGATTAGCGACAGTTATGATAATAGTAAAAACAAATAGTACATAAATGCAAAATAATAATTAACATTAGCGACACTTATAATGATATAGATAATAATAAAATTGAACACAAATGTAAATTGTAATTAAAATTGGACTTAGTGAAATGATAAAAACTCTTCAAGGGTATATGGATTAACATGGTTTATGTATTTTTTAAGACTTTTTTTAAAACTGTTGATGTTTGAGCATTTTTTAATATAATCTGGAATTAAATTGTACAACATACATCCATTAAAAAATGCCCCTTTTTGATATAGAGCAGTATTGTGTTGATTAGACTGTAGTAAATTTTTATATTGAGTAGAGTATGAATGATCTGCATTGTGTAAAGTGAAAGAGGAAAAATTGCATCTAACATAACATAGAAGCTCATAGATGTAAACTCCGATTGCGCTTAAAATATTGAGCTCTTTGAAGACACTTCTGCAGGTTTCTCCAGGTTTAAGGTTAGCTAAAATACGTATGGCATATTTTTGGATGATAAAAATTCTATTGAAATCCTTACAGAGACCCCAGTGTATAATACCATACCTCAAATGGCTATGAAAATTAGCAAAATATAGAGTTCTTGTTATATGGCTACTACATTGTTTAGTCATGACACTAAGTGCAAAACAAGACGACGATAATCTTTTGCTAAGCCGTTCGACATGTTCTTCCCAAGTTAAGTGGCAAACCAGATAAATACCAAGTAATCTTATATTATTAGCGTATTCTAAAAAAGTTGCATTTATATGTATTCCGTGGCCAATTTTTAGATTAGATTTATTAGATGTAAAAACCATGCAGGCAGTTTTATCATTATTTATAGTTAACTTGTTGTGATACATCCATTCTTGTAGCCTTGAATATATTAAATTCAGATTTGCTTGGAGATTAGAAACATCTTTGAGTTTTAGGAGAATATTTGTGTCATCAGCATAACAGACAAGTGAATTAATTGCATGGCCTAAAGCACATTTTAAATCGTTAGCGTAGATGATGAAGAGGAGGGGAGCAAGTACCGAGCCCTGCGGTACTCCTAAAGAAATTTCTACCGACTCAGACAAAAAGGTTTCACCAGCAGATCTAATAGAAACTTTTTGAGTGCGAGCCTCTAAATAAGACTTGAACCATTCATGTACTATACCACGTATTCCATGATGCTCGAGCTTAATCAGAAGTAACGAGTGATTGACACAGTCAAAGGCTTTTGTAAGGTCTATGTACAAACCAATAGCTGCAGATCGATTGTCAATTGCATCTATAATCTCTTTAACAAACGTAAAGAGTGCCGTGTCAATGCTCCGTCCTCTAATAAACCCATGCTGGCGTAGCTCACGGGTTCTTTTTATATTTTGCCGAAATACAATTTAAGGAATAGGCGTAACTCAACTTAAGTCACTTTGATAAATTTTATTTCGTACTTTTAGGAAAATTCTAGGTGGTGTATTTCATATTAACATGATAAGACTTGCAAACGACCCGTGCATAGTGCAATTAAACGGATGTTCTTAGGAAAGCGTTAAGTAACGGTGTTACGTGGTTTATACAGCAAAAAATTAAGTTTACGGTGTTAAAACATTTACTTTAAAGTATGGATGTACTAGTAGTATGAAAGGATGGATCCAAAAATATTGCAGACATAAAAGAACTTAAAAGTGTGAGAAAAAATAGAAAAATTAAAGTAAGCAGTGAAGTGGAGATGTTTTACATTAAAAAACGGTTTTATGGCACAGTGACCGATATTGGATTAAAAAACACAAGTGTTGACGACAGCGAGAGTTCTCATGAAGTACCTTTAGCAGAAATAAGAAAATTAAAAAATATTCCTGAAAGTGATAATAATGAGATTCCACTTTCTAAGAAAGTAATAGAATCTGGAATTCCAACCATATAGGTATGTACTTAAATAGTATGAACATTAAATTAAAAATTTTTCATGAATTTATGTATTTCAGATATTATTTCTAATCAGCAAGTAGAAAATGAGGTGCATCCTGTTCCAGATCTTAAGGGTCCATCTTCTAATCATATTCAGTCTGACAGCAAAATTTATGATCTCGATAATCCTACGTATAAACAAAGCTGCGAAGCAGAAGATTGTAGAAAAGAGGTATTTAGTTCAAGCCGTATTTGTTTAAGGCTGTTATGCGGGCTGCATTTTACAGTTTACGGGATTCATGTGAAAGCAACTTAAAGACTTAAAATTACTGGTAAAAATATGGGCGAAGACAATACTTTAAAAAACGCAACACAACCAGAAGACTTTTTATTAGAAGGTGAAGGAAGAGAAGAAGAATTTTGTGAGAGAAGAAAAAAGTAAATAAACAGAAACTAGCCAAAAGAATGAGAGACCTCGGTCAAGAGTATATTAGACCTAAATTAGGTATTGTTGTACCAGCACGACAACTCAAGGAAAGTTGTAATTTCGACATTTGCACAAAGAATTCACAAAATTGTTATTTATTTAACGAAAAAGAAAGATCTAAACTTTTTGAGTCATTTAATAAAATTGGAATCTAACAAGGCAGCGCGAGTTCATAGCATGTCATGTTAGCACACATCAAACGATTTTCAAAACAACTAAAAGCAAAAATTCAAGAAGAAAATATGCTAACAAATACTTTTTTATACAGGAAAATACTCCCAAGATAGTGTGCAAAAAATTTTTTTTAAACACTTTGGGAATTTCTGAACGATTCATGAGAACCACATTAAATAAAGTCGATGAAAAGTGGCGTATTGGAAGAAGAAAAAAGACCTACTCTGAAAATGGGGTTAAATCGGTAACTCTTTTTTCAGATGGTTGCAGCGGTCAAAATAAAAATTAAATTACTGCAACCATGCGTCTGAATACGGTGGCATAATCTAAAAACATAGAGAAGATATCGCTTAAATTTTTTGAGTCATTCCATGGGCAGAATGAGGGAGATTCTGCACATAGTGCTATTTCAACTGCACTAACAACCGCAGGTGATATTTTTGTACCATCACAGCTTCACCCCATTATGCGCCTTGCCCGAAGAAAACAACCATACAAAGTAATACCTCTAGAGTATCATGACTTTATAGATTTCAAGAAACTATCCAGAGGTCAACAAATATTGTCAGTAAGAACATCGGATTCTGGAAATTCCACAAAATGGACAGATATTATGGAATTAAAGGTAAAGAAATCTGATCCATTCAAAATATTTTTCAAAAATAGTCACCTTCAAGAAGACTTCGATTTGCTTACACTTAAAAGATTACAAACTGATTTGGAGCCTCTAAATCGAGAACTTCAAAATCTCAAAGCTGACAAATACTATGTGAAGGGTCTTTGCCAGTAGTTAGAAATCAGGAGCATAAAATCTTCTATTTTAATCTTCCTTGCTTGATTTTTAAGTAATATCTCATTTCATTATCAGTTATTTTTTTATTAGAATTATTATTTATTTTTTAAATTTTATTATTTCAAATACAGAATGTTTGTTTAATTTATTTGTATTATTTATATTTGTTTGCCTATAATGGTTTTGTATCTGGTTTTGTATGTTTGTTGTTAATTTTTAATAAAATTGTGGTTAATTTTTTAATAAATTTATTGTTTATTAAATTTTTCTGCACTATAGTATATCCTAATGAATTGACGTAACTTAGTTTTATGTCGTTACGCAATGGTTTTTCAATTTCACAAAGTGACGTATCTCATTGTCGACCATTTTAAGAAAAATCAAACAAGGTTTTTGGCGAAAATGATGTATAGACATATATTTGACACATTAATCTTCTAGTAGACCAAAAATTAGATTTTAGATTGTTACTGTTACTTGTTGCCATTTGGTTCAACTTTATAAAAATCTTTAAAACGCTCTCCTGTAAAGTTGTGAAAATCGAGTTACGCCACTTAGTGAAATTAACGACGATATGTCATGTTGAATTAACGCAAACAGGAACTTTTAATCCCAAATGCAAATTCTGTTATTTGTATCAGTTTTTGGGTCCTGTTTAGTATGGTAGATAATTAGGCAAAAATCTATTTTCTAATACTAATAAGTAGAGAGCGGAATATATGCAAAATGCATATATATGCATTTTTTGCATATTTTACCAAAGTTCAGAAAATATTGCATATTTTTCCAAAATTCAGAAAATATTGCATATTTTCGAAAAAAAAAAAATGTATTACTATACTGTGCAAATCAAAAACTGTTTTAACAGATTATACAGATATATTTGAAATCAAGACCTTTTAAATTTTTGTATTTGTTTTTAAGTGTCACTTCTTGTAAATTCTTGTTAATTAGTTCTTGGAGGGTGGCATGCACTGGGTTTTTACCTTCTTAAGAGATTAAGCCCATTAAGGTAATTGTTAATAGATGGTATTTACACAGATAAAGTATTACAATGCAATAAAACGGGTTATATAAAATTCTCAGTAATTTCTTGAAACCAATCTACCCTAACATCGAAATATTTTGAATGTTTTTCATTCAGTTTAATGAGATAGTATCCTCGTTATTTGCCTAGTGAAAAGTCTTGTAATAATTTGTTGTTTTAAAAGTGTCCTAAAATGTCGAGAATTTCTTCGTGGATTATTAACTTTCCAGATTTGGAAATCAATGGGGATAAAGTTTTTTGTAAAGCTTGTGCCAAAATAGTGGTTTGCGAAAAAAAGTTCAAAGTGGTTCAACACGTGAAAACATCATTGCATAAAGCCAAATTGCAAAAAATGAAATCACAACCGGTTCAACAATGCGTTGTGAGGTCATTTCAAAACGCCGACAAAACAAAAAGTGACAAGGAGGTATTTAATCAGGACTTGTGCAAAGCTCTTGTTGCGGCAAATATTCCATTAAAGAAGTTACAAAACCTACATCTAAGAGAATTTTTACAAAAATATTGCAATCAAACCATTCCTGACGAATCTACACTCAGAAAAAAAAATGTACATGCTATAGATATAAATGTAATAGAAGAAATTAAAGTTTTACTGGATGATAGCAATTTTTACATCATTGTTGATGAAAGCACAGATGCTTGTGGAAGATATATGGTACATCTTATGATTGGAGCCTTAAAAGAAAATGAACCAGGTACATCATATTTAATTGCATCAAAACAGTTAAAAAAACTAAGAATATAAATGTTACCCGATTTATTCAACAATCTCTAGCAGAATTTTTTTTACCAAATCAAATTCCCTCAGAGAAGTTCTTAGTGTTTTTGTCTGACGCAACACCATATATGATAAAAGTAGGGCCAAACTTAAAAATATTTTATCAAAATATGGTCCATGCTATTTGTATTCTGCATGGAATAAACTTAGTTGCAGAAACTGTGAGAACAGAATATCCCTTGGTTAACAAGCTAATTTCGAATGTGAAAAAAATATTTTTAAAAGCCCCTTTAAGAGTGCAGTTGTATAAAGACAGAATGGTAGGGGTGTGTTTGCCCCGGAACCCGTAATAACGCGATGGGGGACATGGATTAAAGCAGCTATATTCTATGCAGAAAATTTTGAAGCAATTAAGGATTCAATTTTGGATATAGAAGACAATTCACAATGTGTAGTGCAAAGTAAAGAATTGTTAAAAAATCCCCTTGTGCCTAAGCAACTTGTGTTTATAAAGGTTAATTTTAGGTTTTTACCTGATGTAATAACTTCATTGGAAAAGAAAAATTTAAGTTCAATCGAATCAACAAATTTTATTGCAACAGTTTCCGATAAATGTAACAATGTTCCTGGTGACATAGGCCTTAAGATTAGAAAAAAATTAAATACAACTTTATTAAAGAATGAAGGGTTCAATGAAATAAGGGAAGTGAAAAACATTTTTGAGGGAAAATTTTCCAAAGAAGTTTTACATTACTTCCAAAATTACGGTATCGTCCTATTACTTCGGTAGATGTTGAAAGGACCTTTTCTATATCAAAACATATTTTAACAGACAGAAGACAAAAATTTTTAATAGAAAATTTCGAAAAATATTTAATTATAAATTCCTATTATAATATTACTATTTAATATTTTTATACTATTCTATACTTAACTTCTACTAGTTTTTGTGTTTCGTTTGTTTTAAATAAATTTTTATATTACATATTTTCTTTTGTTTTTTTTTCGTGTAATGGCTTTGATAGCGTACCAAATTAGGAACAGCAATGTTAATTAGAACCCAACAGTGAATGGTCAAGTGGAAATATTCGCTAGGAATCAGAATTAATTTTTAAATAAATTAGTTAATTTAAAAAATCGCGTCCCGGCTGGAATTTGAACCCGGGACCCCTAAGTTCACAGGCCAACGCACTAACCACTGAGCTGCCCACCCCCTACTTTTTTTTAAGTATTTTTAACAAATATGCATTTGCATATTTAGGCATAATTGGACAAAATAACTGCATATTTTTGCTAAAAACGATGCATATATATGCGCATATTTTGTTATATTTTGATGCATATATTACGCCCTCTACAATAAGTAATTTATACTTCATTTATAAATATTTTATATTTTTCTTATATTTCAGAATCATAAAGCATTCTGGTACAATCAATCATTTTCTAATCAATAATCTCCTTAGTTACACCTTACACTCGTTTAAAATTGAACTGAAGCTATACTGCCCTCCAAAGCCTCAGTTAAAGCGAGTTTCGAGAAAATACACATTTTCTAAAAGTTGTTCTAGCGTTCCCTCGAGTCCAAAAAAATAATTTAGGTACAGCTGAATTACTACAAATATTTTTTTATTTTTGATGTTCTTGTGTCGTATGGATATGCATCCATTTAGCTTAGAATAATGACCTACCCCTAAGTCTTTAGTAAGTACAAGTGAAATTGAGATATGTACATTTTTTTTAGGTTTTTTTTTAATGTTCTGAGTAAGATTTTGCTATTTTCTTAGTTGATCTGGTGCAGAATTTTTTAAGTTATCTGATGCGTTAAAATATAGGTAAGTCATTTTTTATTGTCTTATTTTATTGGATATTATTGACATTTCATGTGTGTTATGTATAATTTTAAATTTTGAATTATAATCTCATGTACATTAATTTTTTGTAATTAGCTCTGACGTATAAACTAAATTTAAATTATACAATTTCAAAACAGCATAGTATTACTTATTGTTAATTTATACATTATATTACAATTAAACTTTCATCCTCTCTTATTTAAACCGATGGTTTTACAGCGATGATGATGATTGAAGTAGCGAATCGAAAAAGCCGATGGTCTCGAATTGGGCTCAAATCTGATTAAAATCCTTCTGAATGTCAGTATAAATAAAAACCCCTCTAAAATTTATTCATTTACTTTTTTCATCTCAGAGATTTCTAGGAAAATAAAGCGACATGAACGATTTAGCAATCTGAATAGCGAGCTAAATCTCATTTTTCAGAAGAGTTTTATACCAAAACAGGATTTCATTTAAAAACAGCCATCTCTAATCGCACAAAATACACCCGAAAAGGATCGTATCAAATGTCCTTAAACAAGAAAAAGGGCAATCCTTCCCTTTCAAGTTTATTTTAGGCACAAACCATCCCTTCACACAGCTCGTTTTATCAGGGTTTCCGCTTTGGCGAATGACACTAGCAGCGCTTATCTGTACATAAAAGAGTCGGTTTTCAGGTTTTCAGGTTTTGAAGCTTTACATACACCAGCATAAACACGTTCGTAAATACTATTGGAAAACCCTAAAATCCTGCCCTTAAAAAATCATAACGGAAACAGATTCCTGTATCGTGTAACTTATTGGAAGCTGATAGGTGCAGCATATTCGTCGTTTTCTTGAGGAAATGAAATTCTGACGAAAAACCACTTACTGCTGATTCTGTTTCGACGAGTTTTCCACAAGTTTGGAATGTAAAGTAAGTTGTTCTGGTTGATTTTTCTCATTTTATTTGATATGAATTTGAATTATTTTTATACAGGATGTCAGCCTATTAGACCAACAACGCACTACCACAAAGAGCTTAGTTAACCAGATAAAGGATATTAAAGGTTTTAGATTAGAATTTAGAAATATTGAGTCGTTAAAAATTTTTATGTACATACAAACTTTTGTTTAGAAGCAAATGATCCCGCACTTTTTATATTGATTTTGGGTACTGTCAGAATTTTAGAATATTTCGCAAGTCATTAATGGCAACTTTCTTATGGACTCCAAGTTTGTCGCTCTGCAGGGTGAATTGTTAGAAGGATTGAAAAGTAAGGAGTGCCGAATTAATATTTTCATATAATCTACCACTCGTAAGTATTTTTTTCCATGAAATTTGTATCATGCGGTACACGTGTATATAGTTTATTCATACTTACTTGCACTTTGAAAAATAAATCATACAGTGTTAAAAAAATAAAGAATATCAGTTACTGAAATAAAGTGCATTTTTCATGTATTACCATAGTTAGTATCTAACTTCTGACTATGATTTTGTTTTATTTATTACTAGATAAATTTTATAAGTAAAGAAGAATGTGATAGAGCTATATAAACAACTATTATTTACAAAATTGTATTTATCGCAAAACTTGGTGTACTTAAAATATTGTAGAATCTTGAAACGAGACGAGTATTGCTCATACTATATTCATCAGTAGGCTATTCAAATTTAGCCGTCTCAACCAACCTCTAGAATTCGATACTTTAATTCACAATCATGTTAATTACAATTTACAGCCATGCAAACTGCTATATCTAAGTTTGGATAAACGTTTTCAAATTTCAAAGATAGGCATTAAAGATATATGCATTCTTGAACTAAGTCAGTTTCTAAATCATTCCGATATATTTTTTCCAAGAAAATTACATTTTCCGTAAGGGCTGATTAAATCTGACTCTATGCACAACAGACCGTTTAGATTAGGGATGCGCAAGATGTATCAATGTTTAAAAACATCAATGTTTTTTAATCCGATGTTATTAGTTAACATCGATTTTTTTTAATCCGATGTTATTTTGTCAATATCGATTTTTCAATTAACATAGATAATTTTCTTTTCAAAGTTTTTTGGTTTTTATTAAGCGTCACGTTTCAATTGATGGTTTAAATTCCTTTTTTTTGCTCTTCCATGAACGCTTTTGGAAAATATCGATGTTTACAGACACATCGATGTATGGAAAAACGAACATCGATATTTAGAAAAATCGATATTTTCTTTTGCGATAGTCTGTATTCGATGTATTATTTGATGATTTAAAAATTTTGCGCATCCCTAGTTTTGGTTTTCTTAGCTCAAGGTAGATCTTAGAAAAGCTACTCTCAGCTGAATAATTTGTCACTAGTGTACATAGGGACATGAAATTGCTATATCTAAGTTTGGATAAACGTTTTCAAATTTTGGTTTCGCAAGAACGAAGATAAACTTTTCAATGAACCAAAATCTGGTTTGACCAAACCTCTTTCAGAAGGAAGATGGCATTGAAAATATATACTTTCTTGAACTAAGTTAGTATCTAAATCATTAAGATATATTTCTACAAAGAAAAGGGCATTTTCCGTAAGGGCTGATGGTGGAAATTCTCTCATTTTGGTAAGAAAATGCCGTTTTCTCATTCGGAGTCTATCAATGAGAACGATAAATGTTTTGAAAGTATCACTAGCAGTCATTTTCATTTCTTCATCGGCGGGTGTTTCATCATATTTATTTATTATCTGTTTTTATGTCTCTTATATACAGCTTCGGCACGCTTAATCCCATCGCCTCTTCTTCGAAATACTAAAAATTTTCTCATTCAGCTCCGAAAAACTTGCAAAGAGATTCGGCAACAGTGATCAAATATGAAAGAAGCCTGAATTTCAACCGTTACTTTGAATATTCTTTCCAGAAAAACATTTCCACAACCATTACCGCCGTTTCCAGTTTTTCCAAATTCAAAGTATTTCCGTCGCTTCGTTTCTCGTTAACATTTCGGTTCAATCCTTGATTGATTCAAAAGTTTCAAGAACTCCGTGCCTAGAATCTCTCAAACTTTTATATTCGTCCTCTCAACTGATCAACGGGTTAGCGTTTTCTCTTTCCCGTTTATAGTCATAAATATTTTCCGACGTTGTGTCGAAGTAACAAAAAAAAGTAGATTTCTTGAAGCAACATAAAGAAGCTTCTGTGCAAGATTCAGCAGCCGCAGTTTCCACTAAATTTAAAGAGTGGACAGAGCAAGGAACGAAAAAATCAAAAAGTGCTTCGCGGCATTATGATTATCCACGACAGTCTTCAATATTTATGCTCAGTGTTTTGAGTTCCGAAATAATTACAGAAAACATTTGAGGAGTGGCCGAGCTAAGTGATCTAAGTGCCAAAAATAAAAATTTACAGAAATCAAAAAAAACTGCAGAGATCATGCGAAATATACAGGCAGACTCCGCAGTGACCAGGGCACAGTAGGTCACTATCGGAAATACGCGGCCAACACTAATTAACTAAAATTATGCAAAATCTATGAAATATATAAGGTTGGGTTAGGTTAGGTTAAACATGCGTCCTAAAAATAAGGTTTTCGGACAGGTATCTGCGTTCATAGCACCGGAGAGCCGATGTTAGTTTGCATTTGAGTGTATGAGCTGTAGTACGTTGTTATTATTATTTTATTTGTGTCCAATTTAAATAAGTTTTAGTATTGTTAGACACAATGGATCCTATGGCAAGAAGTAAGTGTTACTTTTAAGAGTATTTATAAATATTTTACATATCTAATTTATTTTTATTTAGATTTTATATGAGTAGCGTTAAAAGCTTTATATAAGTATCTTTCCGAGGTTAGTTTCGGGTACTTCCGGGATGTTCGGGAGTACAAAAATGTTTACATAATTTAGCTTAAGACTTTAGCTATTAGTACAAAAAAAATATTTACCGCATATTGCCGCCTTTTGTTTAATATATCCTAATAAAGCGATCAAATTTAAGTAATATATAGGTATTTTGCTAAAAAAAATCAAATTTGAACAAATTCATTTAACATTTAGGGATTTGTTTTGTTTGACACGTCGATTTGTATTTTTGGTTGCGGTTTTACTTTCCTCTCTATATAAGGAAAATATAGGAATACTTACACAATGCATTTTAGAAATATCAACAAATTTTTATGGTTATTTCAGGATCAAAAGATATGGAAGAAAACCCAATGCTTAATAGAAAAACTCTCTCTGAGGTAATGTTGGAATGCAGCTCAACAAAATTTGAAGATAGATGTCATCATATTTTAACTCATATAATGGAGTTAACCCAGTGCCACGAAGAAATGTTGCATGTTATTAAACTTAAGCTTTCATATTTTAATTCGGACTTTAAAGTCAAGTTTAAGTCTGCACAATTCAAAAAGGAAAGATTTTTTGCACAAAATAAGAAATGGCTAGATACTGATGTTATGTTTCCTGTATTTAACAAACTAACTAGAACGGTATTGGGAGGTCGCCCTTCCTTATATTTTACAAGAAGTAGTAAACGTTCAAAAAGAAGAAAGACCAAGAAAGTTCAAGCTCAACTAAGTTCTGATGAACTTGTGAATGTGGCCCAAATGAATCTACGATCTAAAGGAAAATAGACGCGGCCACAGTAGTTAAAGAAGTTCATTTTTCGACACCAACTAACCTAAAAATACAGAAAAGTCTACAAATAAATAAATGGATGACAAAGTAGAGGAGCTATCTGGAGAACTGGCTTTCTCGGTTCTAGTCGAAGCAAAACTGACTAGACATCAATATGGGCTAGTAAAAAGTGAAGACAAAAGAAGATTTTTATCATACAAAAAGATTCAGGATGCTAAGAAACATTGTTATCCAGACAGTGAAGCTATAATTTAAAGGGACGAGTGCTGAAGTAAAGTTGCAAACATTACTTGACCACACCATTAAGCGTATTGTTAAAGTGCAAAATAATGTTTTGCAGTCCTTAACAGAAGATGAACTTCAGTGTTTAACATTGGTATGTAAATGGGGGTGTAAAGAAAGCTCGAGGTTTACCCAGTACAAACAAAAATTTTAAAGCGGTGATGATTCAGATGCCAGTATATTTTTGACATCCCTTGTGCCTATTCAACTTATATCTAGCAAGTCAAATAAGGTAGTTTGACAGTTTTTACATGAGACTACCGAAATTACTCTGGCAGAGAAAATCTACATGGAAAATCAAATTAAAGATTTAATTCCTACAACTGTTAATTTAGAAACTATGTAGGTCTACATATCCCATAGTTTGTTATTTACAATGATTTATGGCAAAGTATACAATACTGCAACCTTCACAACCTCTACTCAGAAATGCTACATGTGTGGAGAGAACTCCAAAAATTTTAACAAAATTGATAATATGTTAAAGAAAGATATTGATACGAGCTCGTTGTCTTTTGGACTATCAAGCCTCCATACACATGGTATACAAACTGTCCATAAAGAAACGGCAGGCTAGAGGCGAAGAAAATAAGAAGATCATGTCAAGAGGATTTTAAGTCCAAAATGGGCTTAATAGTGGTTTTGACAGTAACAACGATGAAACAAACAATATCTAGTGGATCCCATATTCATCTAGAAAGTTTTAAAAATTATGCCATATCTACAGTAAAGCATTTAGTTGAAAAATATCCATGGTACAATGTGCCAACTACAGTACATAAGGTTTTAATTCCAATTGGCCAGCTAAGCGAAGAAGCGCAAGAAGCATTAAATAAGACTGTAAAAGGATATAGGGAAGGCTTTGCACGTAAATGCTCCAGAAAGCAGACTTTGGAAGACATTTTTGATATATTTCTTCTGTGTTCAGATCCAGTTATATCAACTATCAGAAAACTTCCAAAACAAAAGTCAAAATCTTTTGAAAAAGACGTTTTAGATTTGGTAATAGCTCTAGAAGTACTGTCACCGCAGGTGTATAACTATTCAAGCGACGATTTCTTGATGATTCTGAAGATACTTAACTTGTTTTATTGTAATGTTATAATAAATGTATTTTTTATTGTCAAAAACAAACATAAATGTAGCTGTAGTAAAATTCGTCTTTTAATCGATTAAATTTTTCTTGATGTAAGAATTTTAAAGTTAGGAATTACTTAAAATAATTAAATCTACATGATATTTTTTCCGTGTTATCATTTCAATCAACAAAAAAGAAACATTTTTTTTTCAATTTAAACTTTTAGCGCAGTTAATTTTAAACACCCTATGCAATTTTTTAAAATCATGCAAAAGAGTTTTTCTTAATATTTAAACAATATTAGTAAAATTTGAATGAGCTTTGTTAAAAGATTAGGTTTTGGCCAATTTTTTTAATTTTGCCCCACTCATGGCGGTTTCAACCACTACGATCATATTAACAAAAAAACGAAAAATAATATTTTGGCACTTCAGATCACTACTCTTTATTTTTTCCGCTTTGTGTCCCACTGAGAGCAAAAATTTGAGAAATGTTTCGAACGGTGCGTCTGTAACTTTTTAAATTAAATCTAGAATAAATTGATGGTAAATGTTATAATCATTATCAATTTTTTCTGGGTTACCTTATACGAGTATATTGGAATAAATTATTTTTTTAATTTTCAGATAATTTTATTACATACTCCACAGCCATTTAGTTTTGATCAAACACCATCGGATTGTTATTTGCTCCCAAAAACGTAAGAAACACTTGGAAGGTAAAAGATTTTCAACAAATAAAGTTATACGTGGAGTGGCTTGCAGACCTAAACAAATATTTTTTTAGGGGACACGTTGTACTAAATGTGCGAGTCTTGAAGACGACAAATCATGTTTTTAAAATTTAGCATTTTCTATAGTATGGTATTTGTCAATATAATAACTAATCTTTCAACTTTTATTAGCGGTTATATCTGATACAGGATGAAAATGATATATCGAAAATCACCTGCTTAGATGTTTTATTTATTATAATATGCGGCGGTAATATAAAATTTCCTAAGGTGTTCTTCGAGCTTTGTCACCTTCCTGCATCGATAAAATAGAGTTTTTCATACAAAATTATAAGCCATTCATCATCGGCTCGCGAAAGCTTGGAGGACAAAGTTTCAAAAAGGATTTTTTTATAACACATTTCAATAAGGACTATACGCCGGTGTTCGTTATGGCAATTTGTTAAATCTGACATTCCCCCGTTATCAAAGAAGAAGCGGATGATTAAATTACCTAATATAGAAAATTTCGTTTGAACTTGAGACTTTGTGTAATAGAAATGATTTATTTTTTCTTTGCTTAATAAATTTTCTATGAAAACTATAGAAATTTAAAATGGGTTTTCGGCGTAAAGGGCTTATCGAGAATGGGTTCACTTGTACTCGGAATATCGAAGGAGTATATAGTTGCATAAATACCTTAGGTCCACTGATAAAAGAATATCGTGTAAGTATCTAGTTAACAAATAGCTCGGGTTTTCTTCTACTTTACACCTTAGCGAGAAAGTGTTTTCAAAAATAGATTTATTTTTAAATTAGTTTGTGAATAAAAAAAATAATCCAAAATGATATATGGCTTTTATATAAATCATACTTATTGAGCCTTTCATCTTTTATAACATGACCTGTAAAAATAATACACTGGATAATCCTGCTGACATACTAAATAGTATTGCTGATCTTTTTAGCAAGTCCTACGTTCATTCTTGAGTTTCTCATGTTGATGTGAATGAACTACAATTAACTTGCTTAAATATAAACAGCTTTTACGAAGGGCAGGTACTTGACGCATTAAAATCTATAAAACCTAAGCGTACTGCGGGACCCGACCATATTCCTGCATTAATTTTGAAAGATTGCGCCCAAGTACTGGCTTATCCTCTGACAATCCTGATCAATATCTGCATCCGTTCTAGTACTATTCCGTCAATGTGGAAGAGGTCTAAAGTATGTTTGATTTTTAATAATAAAAATCGAACTCACGTTAAGAACTACCGACCTATTTCTATTATTTGCAATTTTTGTATAGTATTAGAAATATTACTGGAACGCAGTATTTATCAACACATAAGTAGTGCGTTATTCACTCATCAACAAGGATTTGTCAAAGGTCGATCAACAGTAACGAATCTCTCAGTCATTACTCAGCAAATAGCAGAAAATACAGATAACCGTATTCAGACTAATATTATTTATATAGATATGACTAAGGCATTTGATAGACTTGACCATAGAATTTTTGTTGAAAAAAAAAAAACTGTCGGCTTTTGGACTCTCAGATAGTCTTATTGACTTACTCAAATAATATTTGTGTAACCGTTTACAATACGTTCTGCTCAATGGGTTCAAGTCTGTTAAGTATCTTGCCACAACGGGTGTTCCTAAAGGGTCGAATCTTGGTCCGCTCTTAATTATCTAATGTATGTTGATAACCTTAGTTAGTTAATGAATGGTGTCATAGAAATAATTTAAAATTGAACCCAGCCAAGTGAAATATCATATGGTAATCCTTAAAATCAGATCCAACTTTTTATCAGTATATTGTTGACGAAACTCCCTTAAAAAGTCCAACAAACTTTGAATATTTAGGAGTCCTATTTGATTTAGCACTTTCTTTTACTGACCATATCTCATCTAATCATACATATGGATTCATAATCAGAAACAGTCGTGATTTTAAGAAAGTAAATATCATAAAGTGTCTGTATTATGCTTTTGTCCAATCTAAGCTTGAATACGCGTCAATTATATGGAGTTCACTATATCCAGTGCACATTGGTCGATTGAAAGGAATTCAGAGCCGATTCCTAAAATACCTAACTTTTAGACATAATAATAATAATAATATAGTTTATTTACTCAAAAAAACATATTTTTTTTTTACAATACAATAATCACTGAAGTAAATAAACGTTTATTCACAAAAAGTTGTAGCATTACAACTTGTGTGCGAAAAAAAAAATTAAATAGGGCGTGCAAATATACAATTATACAACTATACAATTACCTCCAACAATACAATAGCTTAAACACTATACAATACAATATAAAATAATAAAAAACACAATATAAAATAAAAAGTGGTGACTGTAAATTAAAACAAGAGATAAATAGGTAAGTGCAGTGTCAAAAAAATATATCAAAAACCCATAAAAACCAAAGTTGTGCATGGGCTACACATGTTTAGATGACAACGTGTACTTACCATGTTTATCCAATATAAATAATAATAATAATAATAATAATATTAATAATAATAATAAAAATAAAAAAAAAGAATGAATCACAAAATATGTATTAAAAATGTTTTTTCTTTTTTATGTAAAAATTTCTTAAAGAATAATATTTATTATTAGAACCATTTGTGGATCACTGTTCTGTTAGTATTTATAATAAAGTCTTTAATTCGGTTTTTTATTAAAGGCACACTATTTAAAACTTTAATATACGTTTTATATTTGTCAGGCAGATGGTTAAAGAATACGTTTGCCAAATAAGAATAATTTTTTTGACCTATTGTTTTTTTTTTGCTAATGGCAGTACAACTATGTTTTTTATTTTATTTCTGGTGCTGTAATTATGAGAGATTGTATGTAGTAGATTTCTATTTTTATAGACATACAATAAAACATTATACACATACA